TGGTACACATTTTCCGTTTGCCTGAAGTTTATTAAATGACGTGTTGCACGGGTTGTTACGTCGTACCCATGGGATAATTATTTATATTGGGTATATTTATAGTTGATTTTTGTTGGTAAATTTTGGGTGGTATGTAAATTTTTTGTAGTGATTATTTATTTGTTTATTTGTTATGTTTAAATTGGTAAATTAATGTTTTGTACATTTTATTTAAATCTTTGTAAAGATGTAAAGGTTTAGATTTTTTATGATATTTCGATTTGTTTAGGTTATATTTTATTGTAAAGTGCTGTAATTTTTATTCGGTTGAAGTGTATTATTAGTATTTGTGTTTCTTATTTTGTAAGATGTAATGTTAGTTACTTGGAATTTATGATGTTTTGTTCGTGTAAATATTTTCGGGGATTGTATTTTATTTTGTGAAATTTTAATTTGTATATATATGTTGTTGTTTAAAGTAATGTTATAGTTAGTTAATATATATGACGTTTATTTGATATTGATATTTGATAAGAAGAAAATCAATATTTTTTTAATATTGTTCTATGAAAGTTTAGCATTTAAATAATTACTATTTTGGTTTGGTGTGTAAATATTTAGGTTCGTATCGGGTGTTTTATTTTAGGATATTTTGGGGTTAATTTTTGTGTATTTTAAATTTTTTTTGTGGTTGATTTTTTCCATTTTTTTGTGGTAATTATATTTGATGACATATTTTTTTGTAATTGTAGTAATTGTGATGTCAAAATTTTTAGGTTGGATTTGATATTTGTAATTAAGTTTATGTCATTATTGCTTTTTTGATTACGCAGGTTTTATTTTAATTATACGTAAGTTATTGTTGGCGTTGCGCTTGATAAAATTATGTTTATATTCTTGTCGGCTGATTTTTATATAAAAACGTGTAATTTTGTGCAATGATTTTATTTGTTTATTTGTTTGTTATTTGTTTGTTATTCAATTGTTATCGTATTTTTACATTCTTTGTCATACTTTATTATTGTATTTTTGTTAAAGCATGCCATGCTATGCAGATACAATCGTGAAGGTAAAGATTGTTCGCCAGACTGCGAAGGAAGAAGATAATTTGTTAGTAGTTTGGGCTGTTGGTTCATATCCAGTTGAACGCGAAGATAATGATTTGGAAATGGTTTTATTTGTGCCGATTGATTCAAGCAAGAGAGATCCTGAAACTCAGGCTATATTTGAGAGAAATAGCTTTTTTTCTGTTGGCGGGAAGATTTTACCTGGGTATTATGAAGGCAATAAGAGACCGAAGGTATTAATTTATGAATAGTATATTTTTACGATGTTTTATATATTTATATATATATATATATATTTCAGATGATTGTATCTATTTCGACTGATGTTGCGATATTAATAAAGTTGTTAGTTCTCTACTGAAAATTTCTCTTGTCAGAGTTCCTCAGGAATTACCAAAGGAATTTAATAGTAAAGATGCTGTTTTTTGTGTTATGATAAGTGATTATATTAGTGGTCAGGAGTATAATTTTCCTGTTAAAGTTGTTTTTCTATTTTTGAATCCACGATTTGCACATTTGAGGAATACTGTTCACCCACAAGAATCTCTTGTTTTTATTGTTGGGTAAATGGAAGTTATTGCGAATAAGTTTTATATTTATGCTAAAGATATTAATCTTATCGATTTTAAGAATTTTAAGAAAAATGTTTCGAGTAATACTTCAAATTTTTCATCGGAAGCTGTTAATTTGACTCAGTCAAAACTTCTTTTTATGCATTGAAATATCAATGAAAATTTGAAAGATACTCATAAGAATGTGGTTTTGTCTTCAGACTTGAATAGTTCTATTGACAAATTTCAAGTTGGATCATCTTCTGATAATAATATTTCTTCGAAGTGTTTAAAAGTTGAATGTTGTTAAGTCTAGTGATGTTGTTCAAGATAATGTGTCTGATAATTCATTGAAGAAGGAGAATTCTCAAAAGAAGAGAAAAGGAAAAGAAGTTGTATGTGGTTCTCTATGTAGTGCTTTAAGATCTTAGAAGTCTGATGTAGGTTCTGGTAATAATGGACAGAAGTAAATTTATATGAATATTTTATTTTTTATATATTTAAGGTATATTTTGTTTTTTAAAAAAAATTTTTTAGTGTTATGATTTATGTATGATTTATAAGTTTTTTATTAGTAGCAGTGTGTTTTCTTTTCAAAGTGTTTAGTTTGATTATATATATTTATAATTTAATGAATGAAATATTTGTATTATGTTTATATTTTTTGGTCAATAAATATTTGCATTTTTTTTTTATCAAAGCATTACTTTAAAGTGATTTTGCGAAGAATTGTGTAAATATTCGAATTAATATATTAATTGATTATTCTGTTAATTTATGTCTTTGAATGAATATTAGTTTGTATTATAGGAGTTATATTTTATCTTAAAATTTGAGTTTGCTCTAGTCATTGTCTCGATTATAAGATGAAATTAAAATTTAGATGTATTTGATAGAAGCAAGATTGATTTGATAATAGAAGGATTTAAAGTTGGTAGTGTGTAAATAATAATAATAAATAAATAAGTAAATGCATATATATATAGTTATATATATATATGTATCGTATATTTATTAGTTCGAAGGTATAAAAACTATTCTTCGTGATTACTTGAAATGTGGATTGTATCATGGGTTTTAACAATGGGAGTCTACATCAGAAAAAATTTTTTAGTGCTGTTCTGCGCAGATTTGCAAAAAAATTAAATAATATATTAAATGAAAATCTGTGCAAAATTTCAGACTCACCAGCTATAGCTAAAGAAATTAAATACAGTTCTGCGCAAATTTCAAAATATAAGAAATTTTGCAGTTTTTTTGCAAAAAATTCTGCAAAAATCTGCATTTTCATAGGTTTTTGCAGATTTGCACTTATTTAATTCTCCCGATGTAGTTATGTATTATTTGTCAAGAGAAATAAAAAATATGAAATTAAGGTTACAGTTAAATGGTGTATGGTGATTAAGGTAAAAGTTAATTTTGAGTTAAATTTTTTGTATATAAGGGATATAAGGTAATAGAGAAAAGTTTTTTTACTTCTTTTTTGAATAAGTATGTATTGATAATGGTTGTTAAGATTTTTCTTTATATTGATTATCTATGTGTTTTCTAACTTCACTTTATGAATTAATATAATTCATACTTTTATTAATATAAAAAAGGTTATACGAATTTGAATGATATATTAATTATATTGTTGAAGTAGGATAGTAATAGTTATATATTCTTTTATTATGAGTAAATTATGTATCTAATACCAGGGTTAGAAAATTACTTTATTTGTTACGATTTGAAGTCGACCTAAATTATGGTAAATATAATTTGATAATTATATAGATGAGTTATTATTTTGCTGGGTGAGTTTTTGTCTATATTCAGTTCAAAATAGAATAGTTATGAGTATTTTTATTTAGTTATGTTTAATTCGTTGTTGTTATAATAATCTGATACATTAACTGTTTTTTCATGATTCAAATAATTATTTGAATTGTATGTTTTTAGTCTTTTAATATTTCTTTGTATACTATATTACGTGTAAAAACACCTTGTTTTCCAGAGATTTTTCCATTTTTTACTAATACTTTAATATCTTGTTGAGATTTAGCTCGCAAAAATGCTATGTAAAGTTGACCATGCGTGAATATGTGTTTGGAAAGATAGATACCTATATGGGGTATAGTTTGTCTCTGGGATTTGTTGATTGTTAGTGCATACACGAGCTTGACTGGAAATTGTTTTCTTTTCAGTGTAAACAGAAGTTTAACATTTTCAGAGGGAATTAATGGTATTCAGAAAAGAAATACACTTTTTCCTTCGCAGCTTCTCGTGACTATTACAGCTTCTATTACATTCAGATAAAAAGTTCAACAAATCATTCTTGTGCATTGCATAAACCGTTTGCCAGGTCTAAATTTCGGAGGCACATAATAAAGAACCTATTTTTAATTGTAGTTCGTAAGGCGGGAGACCATTAGGTGTTATTGAATTTAAATATTCTTGTTGATAAAGTCCACGTATATCTTTAGGAACAGAATTATAACCACGATATGTTATAATGTTGCCAGGTATTTGATTTAGAATTACGTTATTTATGTAATTGACATGTTGATTTTTAGTAGTGAGTATCGCTCGGTTAGTAAAATAAGAATAATGATTTGGTTGATCTGAATATATATATTCTATTAATAATTATATAGAAGTTTCATCTTTTCAAGGAATAACGACATTATTAGGAATCTGAATCATGTCGTCTTTTATAGTAGGTTCATTGCCATTTCCAATATTTAATAAAAAATTTTTAAAATAATCATCGTTAAGATTGTTATTGACTCTCATATTTGTATAAAGTTTAAGAACTTCTATTGTAGACCATATGGGAAAAGATTTTAAAGTAGCATTTATTATTTGTACACAGCTGCCACACTAGATTACTGGTAAAATTTGACAGAAGTCTCCTCCGAATATGATTATTTTTTCTACTGAATAGTAGGTTACAGTCCATTAAATCTTGGAGAGTATGATCTAAAGCCTTTATTGTATAGCAATGTATCATAGTAATTTCGTCTCATATAATTAGTTTAGTTAATCGTAATAGTGATATTAATTGGGTTTGTTTACTGATATTGCATGTTGAATTAAGTCCAGGTGAAAGAGGTATATTGAAGCATGAGTGAGCTGTTCGTCCCCCGGCATGATTAATGCAGCGATACCAGATGATGCTGTTGCAAGTGCAAGCAAAGAGCATAAACAAATTGCGCAAAGTAAACATAAATATAGAAATGTTTTTCCAGATCCTGCAGGTCCGTTGATGAAAAAAACACCCGGTTCATTGTTCTTGATATGCTCTATAATTTTATTAAATATTGTTTTTTGATCTTGATTCATCAATTTAATTTTTTGCAAATCACTGTTATCTATTGGTATACTTAGTTCTTCTAGTATTAATTTTGATATTTGTTCTTGGTTTTGTTCATAAGGTAGATCAAGTGATAAAAGGTTATAGTCACTTAAATTTTTGTTATGATGTTCTAAAATGTTTTTAATTTGTAAGAGAACAGTATTTAGTAAGGGTTGGCCACTTGGTATACCTTTTCTTATATAATCTTCTGACATGGCAATAAAATTTTCATTTCAAAGTGTTCTTATATCACCAGGTTCTCCAAATATTAATATGATTGCAAATAACCATCTAAAAGCATATAGCATTTTAAATTGGGTTGCTTTCTGCATAGTGTTGTGGTACAGATTTCTAGTTTTAATAATTCCGTGTGCTAATGCACTTTGTTGGAAAGTCGGATATAATTGGTTATTAACAGTTCTAAGATTGTTGAAAGAAGTGGCACCTTTTACGTGTGTTATAAGTAATTGTAAGTAGTATTTTTCTCCTTCATTAGGGTTTACTGTATATATTCTCCTGATCATGTTTCCTTGACAATGTTTTGTTCATCTTTTTTTAGTTTTATTCCAGACATAGTGACATATAAATATTTTTTGGCTTCAGGATCTATTTGATTCATCTTAAAATATTTGGTTAACATTGTTTTTTCATTTTCTTTATTATTTAGTATATTACTGAGGTTAGCATTTTGAAAAAAAGTTACAATTTGTTAAGAAGGTAGATGAACTTGCAAACAAAGTACCGAAGGATTGATTTGTGACATTTCAAAAGTGAAAATTCTCTAGGAAACAACCCAATGATTGTCTAGCTGCATATTTCTGCAAAATACATTTCGTTTATCATCATGTCGACAATATACTGGGTAAGAGTCATTGCCTTCTTTTGGGATAATACTTAGTACATCTGCCATTTCTCATACACAGAGATTCAAGGTTGAAAACTCTGCATAGTCTGTGCATCATGTTGGAAGCAACAGTTTGATGTAATCTTGGCTGTATATTGGGGTCTGGTATTTCTGCAAAAATGATTGCATCGTAGTCATCAGCTCCACGTGGCTTGTCGTTAAGATGGAGAATAATCAACAAATGTGCGTGTCGAAGTCTACATTTTTAAAATTCTATCACGTAAATATGTGCGATTACACAAACGAAGATATTCTGCTCTATGATTTCCTTCATTATTTTCTTTAACTTTGCGCAGAAAATTCGAGCTTAAAAATAAAATATTAATAATTTTACTTTCTTATTAGTAAATAAATTAAATTATCACAGGATTTATTAAATACAGATTAGATATGTCGAATTATGTATATATAATTTAGTTTGTTATTATGATTATTGTATAGTGTTATTGAAATTTTTTAGTATTATATACTAAGGTTTTAATGTTTTTAGCAAATATTTATAAAATAAGCTAATTTTAAATTTATATATAGGAAAAATTCAATTTAAATCTTTATCTTCATTAAAATATTGATTGTTCAAAATATTTTGAATATTACTAATTAATTTTATTTATTTATTTTTTTTTTATAAAATGTTTTACCTGTTATATCAGGTCTGTTCTGTGAAGTTTGTCCTGATAAGAGTTCTGAAGATATCTCTGGCCACACGAGATTGCAAGTAATCGTGATGAATAAATCCGGTTTACTGGATGTTTGTATCAGCACCATAGAGTCTTGATATCGTTAGTATAAATCACGAGGACTACCCACAAATGATGAAGGTAAAATTACTCAAGTTCCTACATTAGTGGCATTTGTTATTCCAGATTGGTAAGAATTGTGTAAGCCTTGATAAAGTTCTTTACGGAGTTTATCTTGATTAAAGCGTAGGTAATTAAGATGTTCAGTTTCTATCTTTATGTAGTTATCAATAATATATTGTTAGAAGAGTTGTCCACCGTAATGGAGTAAGGTTGTTAAATTGTAGTGAATGTGTAATTTGTATGCATAGTATTGTCTAGTAGTTACTTTTTTTTGTGACATATGTTGTAGTATTCCAGGGTGCCAACTATAATTTCCCTGTGGAAAAAAAAGAGGATATTGTATCGGGTCGTAAGAATCACTCATTTCGGATATATATTGTAAACATTGAGTTTTAATTTCACTATAATGTCTTGTTTTACAAAGCCCACTGGATAATAGCTTTCTACCCAAATAGCTGCAACTTGTGAAGCAGTTGGTATATTATACGTGCGCTGATCAAGACCATGGTTAGCTTTAATAATAAGACAAAGGTTATCGATGTTGTTATTAGCAGCTATTGATCGAAAATTAATAACAAAAGGATTAAATTCATTTAATATTGCTTTGATAATCTCCAAAGTGTTTTCGCAAAGGTCAGATATAATTGCTAGCCAATTATTCATTTCATGTTTGTGTCATATATATATAGTTGTAAAATTTTCGGTATTTTTTTGTCAGGTAAAAGAGAATCTTTTGAGTGGTATATACCACCTTGTGCTTGAAATGTATATATTTCGTCTTTGCCTATTTCAACAGTTAATTTGCAAATTAGGTTTTATATAGATAGTAGAAAATAAAAATAATATATATATTTTACCACTGGCTAAATTTTTATCTAATTTTACTCTTATAGATGTGAAAGCAAAAATACTATTATAGGCACGAATGTTTTTATGAAATTCATTTTCTACATTGTCATTTCTTGTAAATAATTTTTTTAAGAGCGCAATGGGTTCGGTATAAGCCAATCTACAATTATAATATTATTACCAATAACATGTTAGTTATGTAGTCATATTAATAATTTATTGATATTTATCTTTAACTTACTTAATTTTTCCATTTTTACAACATATTCCTTCTGTTTCTCCTGATAATAATTTAGCATTACAGTAAGAACAAACTCGAGAGGATTCAAGAATGTAGTGAATAGATAAAGTTGTTTCTCAAAAATTCAATGCAATTTTATACAATTTTTATGGTCTATTTGTCAAAGTTTGTGTTTGCTGAGATCTTTGTTTTCTTGCAGTTTCGGCTAATCTGGTTTCTTTAGTAGTTCACAGAAGTAGGATATAAAGAGGTAGCATTTTAAACAGGTACTGTACTTATTTTGTATATTCACGATATATATATACATATATACTTGTAATATAGATAATATAGGTAATACAGAAAAATTTTTTTTAATTTAAATATTGTAGTAATAAAGTTATAAAACATGTAGTATTTAAAGTAGTTTCATACTTTTTTTTTATAATATTTATATCATGTTAATTAATTGATTAATAATTGTATATTAATTTTATTAATAATTTCTATTATTATTTAATATTTATTTATGTAATTTGTTTTTTATATTGTTAATTATTAGTTAATTAATAATTGTTTGTCATTTGATATTTTTATATTAATAATTTTTATAATTCATTATTTTCATCTTTGTGTTTTTGTTCTATTTAATCTTAGTTTGATATTCACATTAATAATGGTTATGATTTTATCTTAATTACTGTTTTAATATTTACACATTATTATTTCTTACAGAAGTATACTAATTTTATATTATATATATATATATTACTATATTATATAAGTGAATATCAGATAATATATCTAATGAATATTTTTATTAATTAATATTAGAAGAGGTGTGAAGTGGTCAAGTCGTCACCCTCTCCAAGTAGCAGGTCTAGGTTCAAATCCCACGGACAACGAAAGTTTGAAAAATAGGCTTGCGTTACAGTAACAGATCTTCATTAAGTTGGGGCTTAGATTAACCTGTAACTTCGGGTCACACCAATGCTCTGTATTGAAAAGTT